AACCGATACTATTATTTATCTTAGTTTACCCATGGTTCAGGATTTGTGGAGCTGGCTTCTCGTTGCATTAGGATCCCTCTGTTCCCCTCTAGTGGTCGAATTAGGAATTTGTCTCAGGACTTAAACCATCCAATTCCATTTTCTCAATTTTGTGCTTAATCTCCTGCCTGACGAGGCGCGTTACCTTGACACGCGTTTTGTTTTGAAGTAATCGGTCACGTGAAGGAGAAGCGTGGCTTGACGTGTGTCAAGCGTAACACAGACGGATGTAACAGACAATCCGGTAGTTTTTCAAAATAAAACATCTTTCGTATTCCGAAATAAATAAAACGGAATTAAGGCAAGTTCTTTCTGTGAGGCCCGGTACCAAATGCCGGCGGTTGGGGACCCCTGGTCTACAGTAAGGAAATGTAAACAATATGTATATGTATATACCTGATATCCAAGCTACATTATGCTGCATGAATAGACTGTCTATCGTTGAGAAGCTGAGCCAACCCCTAGGAAGAATTGTCCCTGCTTGACCTGCTCGGACACCAACCGGCTCAAACCAGAGAGGATTGCTCAACATGTCCTGACACGACCTTGCCTGGGGTACGAAGTCCTCCAGCCGGCTCAAACCAGAGAGGATTGCTCAACGTGTCCTGACACAACCTTGCTTGAATCGTGAGATCATTGTGACTCACGGAAAAATTGAATCATGTGCCTTAGGGGAAAGGAACATTTGAAACCAACAACTGCCCATCTGGTCAGGGGTGGGCCCAATCACGAGGGACCAGAGCTGATAAAAAGGGACGGATTGCGAGGTACTTGGAGGAACTTCCCCATTTTGACACCGGCGCTCCGGCACGCGGGGATTTTCCTCCGCCTGTTCTCCTTTTTCTCCCTTTTTGAACTTCCTTAAAAATTTTCCTTTATTTCGCCATTTTTGCGAATTTCCCCTTTTCTATTCTTTACTCAATCTGGATAAACCAAGATGAACTTTGTATTGGATTCCGACTGGGATATTATGTGATGCAATGTATTTTTCTGCAAAGGGGAGATCTATTTTTGTGGATTTATGTAATGAGCCCTTACAAGAACGAGCGTAAGTAAAGCCGTCACAAATAGGTCAGGATGCATGAAGCACAAGATAAATGGCATTCTCCCAAAATGCAAAAATAACAAGTCAAACCTTGGTTTTTGTCCATAATCCGTTCCACAAGGCTGTTCGAAAACCAAATTTTTCAAAAACCGAAACCACGCTCTTTTTAATAAAAACATCTTTATTGAACACGCCTGCTCACAATGGAAAGCAACACGAGGAAGCATCACTTCCTCGTGTAAGGAAGGCGAGAGGAGTCAACTGGTGCATTCAAGTGCGCTCAGTTCGTTCGAGAACTGAAATTTGTTCGTCATCTGAGGCATAAAAAACTCGAAATTTTTGGTTGAAAACCGAATTGGTTGAGAACCGAGACGTTCGAAAACCGAGGTTTGACTGGAACTGATAAAGATAGGATCGTCGAATGGATTAAAATACGACCTCGAATTAGGCAAGGTGAACCTCGGGAGCGTTTCGAGACCTGGTCAATCTGTGAAAGGCATACTGATGATAGACAAAGCAATTTTTGAACCGCATATACTTAATCGTTTAATTGTTTTATCATTATTTTTCTTATCTTGTGCACCTTACGAAACATCTTTTATCGCTCATGGTTCTACTTATCATCTATCTTTTAACTCTTTTCTAAAATATACCATGTTTTATTATCATAGGATGACCTGGAACGATATAATCAACATAAATCTATCATGTATCCTGATTATGATGTTCGTGATTACTGCTAAGAATCCCCAGCGACTGGCTGGTTTACATCATGTAAGAATGAATATTAAATCATTGATTATAAAAAAGTACACTTGTCTTCTCTATGATCGTAAAGCATCACCATCACACCCTCCATCAATGTGTGAACGGCGGGGACTCGGTAGGATCACCCGAGGGTCTCTGGAAAGTCGATCGAAATAAAAACGATAATTCTAAAATGTGTTTTACTCCGGCATAGGATATGGGAAAATCCTAAACAAAATAAAACGACCCCGAATGACCGTAACAACGGCGATTAAACCCCAACCGAGGTGTGATACCAATTGCAACAGCGTAAATAAAGTATGAGAGGGAGCTGCCGTAAAAACGAAGCGTTCGTTTCGTAGTTCTCCGATTCTGGGATCAGTTGCTCTTCGGGGATAGAGACGAAACGAATGAAAACCGGGTTGGCTTCGTAAAACCAAAGGCAGTGAGAATCTAGGCGAGTCTTTCTCAGCAGTCGGCTCGTGAAAAAGAAGGGAGCGCCGCCCCCGGCGGGGTCGCTTCCCTAATGCCCGTTACCGGGAGGGCCGACCCGGGAATGTCAAATCATTTAATTTCCTGGTTCACTTCCCATCGCTGACAGATGCAATAAGAATTTATTGAAAACACAAACTGCACACACGAGTACAAGATCACTCAACCACAGTTGTGTCTGGTTGTACTTGTATTTTGAAGTGTCCTTCATAGATTCATTGAGTTTTCATGAGAAAAGCATTACAACATCTGAAGTGTCTATTCTGCTCATATTTAGTCATGCTGTATAACTTTCCCATGCCCGCAGCATAACTTGGCGTCCTTGAAGCAGTCATCACTTAAAATTGGAACACTCCCCACTGGAGACCTTGTAGAGACGCACAGACATAGGAATGCATCAGTTGATACAAGCTAAGAAACGGTTTAGGACAGGGGTGTCAAACTCATTTCACATGGTGGGCCACATACGGCCTCGGTAGATGTCAAGTGGGCCGGACCATTAAAATGATACCATACTTTGCTATAAATAACCAAAACAATGTCTTTCCTTTGTTTTGGTATAAAGAAGCACAAGAACATTAGGAAAATGTTGAAATTTAATGAACATATCTTTTACAAAATATTTCATGAAGCACCTTACATTTCCTTCGACAAATGTGCAATTTACTTTTATCATTCACATATATGCATTGCAAATGATCCCACTGATTGTACAAACATTAACAAGTAATTGGTATTGAAAAATATAGTAATGCACTTTAAGATTAAACGAGATTCATAAAGAAAGGAAGTTTTAAACCATTTACACGTGCATATAAAATCTAAATGTAATCTTACAAACTAAGGAGAGTGCTATTAAATGTGTAAATGTGAGAGTGCTATTGATAGCGTCTGCTGTCATGGGTCTGTCACAGTGACGGACTGAGGCTGCTGTTGTCTTCTTCTCTGATCAAAACAGTGTCCCCTTGCGGATACTCAATGAATTGCACCTTATTAAAAATATTAATTCTGTCTTTAATGCATTTTTTTCACTTTTAAATTATCCTGCGGGCCTAATTGAACCCCCTTGCGGGTCGGTTCCGGCCCGCGGGCCGTATGTTTGACACCATGCTTTACATAATCATCTCGCGGGCCGGATTAAACTCCTTTGCGGGTCGGATCCGGCCCGCGGGCCGTATGTTTGACACCCCTGGTTTAGGAGAAACGAAAGTTTTGATGATATAAATATGTGGTGAATCCCTTCCTTCTTTGCACTCGGGACCACCGCAGCCATTGTCTGTAAACCGCGGGTGCGGAATATTCTTCAAATAAACCCTTCCAAGGTACTGTTCATCGACTCCAGCCTGTACTTGGATAACCAACATCCTCCTCGTCCGAAATTCAACGAGCACGCGGGGGAAAGAAGGCTACTTTGCCCCCAACACATTAATAACATGCATGTTCCTAATCTGTGAAAAACGTTCCTAATCTGTGAAAAATGAATTCAATCCCAACTTTTTTTTCTGCTCCTTTTATTTTATAGGTGCGTATTTCATGCATTCTCTAAAAATATTTTAATGAAGTGAAGACTAACCTTAAGTTTTTAGGTTCAGAAATACCTCTCTGTCTTTCTATACTTGTTACAGTGTTTGTTTTACAATTGACACATCCTCGATTTATGCCACATTTTTAACATTGCGAATTCTTTTTGCAGGGCATTTTTCTCCTTAAGTCACACCAAGAAGAAACATGGAAAAATTGTACTTCGCTTGGCTTAATGGACAATACCAAATACATGGCCCATTCTCACAACAACAGGCCCAAATTGCCGATAACACGGCGAATCCTGGAGTGAAACCACAACAGAGAGCCATTTCTTGCCAGGGTGGCCCATCTAACAGGCAGACTGACGTTTCTTATCAGACAGCTGGCGAACCGAGACTTTATGTCAATCTGCAGAACCCTTGTTGGAATGTGCAAGGAGGACTTGCTTTCCATGGAACCGGATATCAAAATGCTACTAATCATTCATTAGATCAGCATGGGTCTGGCCTGAGGTTAAACACGACCCCTTGTCAAGATGGGAAGAGCCAATTTTCTTTGCATTACAATCAACCATCACCCACTCTGGACAGTAGCATAACTTCACCTTCTCTTCAACATAACACTAATAAAGAGGGCTTGAAACAAGTCTTTAACCAAAGTTTATGGATACCTAAATTAGTCTCTTTTACAACGGCTGCCCCACTTCAAGTCAGACAGGGTGTTTCAAAGACTGGAAAAGAATCGTCCACTGCAAGTAACACGCACATTGCTTCAGTCAACAAAACTCAATATGGACCACTCTCTCCTTCTGCCGACCCTCAATATTTAGTTTGCTCCAATCCCAACACATTTGCTCTAAAGCCCCAATCTACTGGACAGAGTTTGCAGGGTTACATTTTGATTCAACCGACAAAGCAAATTTCCTCCACGGTTTTGGCGAGTAGTCAAACAAACACCCCCAAAGCAGCAGAGTCTAGGCATGATGTAATTGGGACAACTCTGCAAGGAACCACTAATCAACAAACGACAACACAATCAAGAAATCAGCTGGTTACCACACAATCAACAAAGCATCTAATGAAGTTACATCCACTGCTGTCAGACTTGCTAATGGCCCCGGGATCAGTGAGCAAGAGTTCCCAGTCATTACCAACAAATAAACTAAATGACAACTCCATTTCTACGAGAGTCATCGCTGTTGTGCAACCATTGTCTCCGCAATGCGATATAATTACACCTGCAAGTAAAAGCCCCTCACCACACAACTTGAATTTACCCATTGTGGACGCCCAGAACAAGACTACCAAAGAGGACTGTCGGAATCCCCCTGAAAGTGAAACTCAGCCACAGTCCAACAAATGTCTGAGGATGCATGCATCAGCTATCAGACATGCAGACGACACTCCAAGTAAAGCTCTGAGAGTGCATCCGCTAGCTACCAAACTTGCATATGACATGCTAAGGAAAGACCATTGTCTTGGATCATGTGCTTCAAAACTGGCGACCCTTGAAACTCCAGAAAAGGAAAAGGGGACTAATGACCATGATAAGATGCCACCCGATGCAAAGGCTAGTATCCTCGAACTTTCCTCTTTCCCAACAACTACGTGGACCTTGAAAGATTTAGCGTTGTTGGGTAAAGGATTGGCGATGCAAGGTGCACCTGCAAATGACAATTTACCCAAACAACTATTCGACATGTTTTGGGGTGGGAGTCGTGACAATTTGGCATGTTTTCTTAAGACAAAATCTTGGCCTGCCTTGGTTCGTCATGTTGATTTATTTTGTGCCAACTTTGTGAAAGAAGACACTGTTGTGCTGTCACAGGTATGCCCGTCATTTGCTGATCAACTCAAAAACTTTCATGTCCTGAAAGATGGCGAGGTTTACACAGAGCTGCCCTACACATCGTCATGGTTGAATACAAATGAACAGCTGGATGATATTGACAAAGAATTTGGCCCCAATATTTACAGATACGTGCCTCACAACCAGCCAGATCCAGTTAAAAGAGTTGCCAGTGTTTCATCACAAAATGTTAGCAAGGTTCCCAGATCTGTCCCTGAAAGAAGAGACAAAGATTGTAATGAGCTAGTCGCCAACATTTCACCACAAAATGTTGCAGAGGTTCCCAGATCTGACCCTGAAACAGGAGGCAAAGATTGTAATGACCCTCTCGCCAACATCTCACCACAAAATGTAAACAAGGTTCCCAGATCTGACCCTGAAACAGGAGACAAAGATCGTAATGACCATCTCGCCAACATTTCATCAGAAAATGTGACAAAGGTTCCCAGACCTGACACTGAAGCAGAAGACAAAGTTTGTAACGACCCTCTCTACTCATTTCAAATCCAAGTTTTGTCACCAGAAAAAGCAAAAGCCATCTTTGAGCTTGAACGTGTTGTGATGTCACCAAGTACAGCAAGTAGTGGTCAACCAAAGGAAGTCCCAAATACTTTTGGTGCTGCGGAAGATGAGCCACTTCCAGAAGTACATGTTACAAGCAGATCAAAACTAAAAAATCCCCTGAATCGTTTTTGCTGCATTGCAAAGTGGAAAGAAATTCTTTTTGGTTCCAAAACATCTTCGGATGATAAGTGCCATTGCAAAGAAGGTTTTACGAAGACGCAAGAACAAATTAACTGTCCACAGTTTACAATAGAACCTGATCGCCAATCTCACTCACAGGAAAGAGACATGAAATCTAAAAGTAAGGGGAGAATGACCAGCAGCCTTCCGACAATAAGTTGGCTTGAAATATGCAATGAAATCAGTGAGACCTTTGAATTAAATGACGATCAAGAAACAAATGACCTCCATTGTCAACAGCCAAAAGGAAGCCAGGCAAAAATGACAAGGGAAAACAAAGACTATGTCGCCGATTGTGATATTACTACCAACCATGTTGGTGACAACGAAGAGGATTTGAACAAAGCTCAGCTGAAACCAGCAGAAGATTGCCTGTCAACTGACAGCCACATCAGTGATGACAATTCTTGGACCGAAAATCAAATGGACACTAATATGTCAACCAACAATGAACAGTTTGAACAAGCTTCAACGGCATCTTCACTTGGGACAATGTCACCTTTGGAAACAGAACAACTGATACAATGCAGTCCAAAGTCTGGAAATCAGACAGATTTCAGTAAATCAGGAACACATGAAACTGATGAAAGGAAACGGAAGAGACTTGGCAATCCTAATAGTATTTTTCCATACCTGAAGAAGTTGATGAAGAAAAACCCGGATTCACATGAAGTTGATGTTTCAAAAAATAAGGCTGTTGTTGGTTCTGATGGTGAACCTTTAGCGTCAGACAAGTCAACTGTCAAATTGATGCTGTTTGGCTCTTTACCACACCAACAGCATGCTTTAATTAATCATGGAAATGAGACGACAAAACCACCAAAGGTAGTTTTTGCAAGGATTGACACCAAGAAAAAATTTGGTAGAGGTGAACCAAACTCATTTTGTTCAGCCACAAAAGGGACTCTATCTCAAACTAAAATACAACTCGGAACCAAAATGAAACTAATTACGGGCAAAGGAGAGACGTTGCGCTCTACAAATGACAAGGATATTGTCGGCCAACAAAGTCGGTCTGTTAAACTTGACAAAAGAAAGAATGAAAGTGGACCTCAAGAAGATTTGCTCATCCAGGACAACATCTTGAATTTCAAAGTTTTGCCCACCACCTTCCGCTTTGCAGATGAATCAACAGGCCGGGAAAAAAACACAGAGCATTGTTCAGGTAAGTCAATGGATTTAATCAGTGTGAAATCTGGACCTGTTTGATTGAACACAAGCACATACACTAGCAGAAATGACTTCATTTTGGTGTCTGAATGGCATCCGGTGGATACGCAGGTTCATTGTACCCTGCCGCCATGCAATAGAGGAGCATTTCATTGTTCAGTCTGTCACTATTCCTCACTGGGCTAGATGAACAGAGATGTATTGAGAATAACATTTTCTCGTGGTGACACCCTTGATCTTTCACACTTGCATTTCCACATGACAAGTGGAGCAGTGACATGACGCAAGAGGAAAGAACTATGGGGCGAAAATGAACACTTACGATGGAAGAGGTGCGCCATGTCGAATGAAGTCATGAAAGATAATAAGGTTGAATGAATTCCATGACAATTGGCTTGATAAGTGGCATGCATATTTGCAATTCTAAAAATTCAAATGCCAAAGTTCACCATCCTTGACTTAGTCCCCATACCTGTCAACTCATACGGTTTAGCCATAGTTCATACGGATTTTGTGGTGAATCTTACGTATATGGCCATATCGCACAAATCAGACGGATTCTGAAAATTTCCGTTTTTTTTTTTTTTTCCCCCTAACAGGTAGTTCCGTTTGCTTTTGCCCAGAATGGTGCTAGTCTACTCGAATGCTTTCATTTCCGGTAACTTTCCAGTAAATCACGTGGCTCCTAGTTGAAAACAGCAGAGTATTCATTGCATACTTCGGTAGTGTACAAGCAAGTTCTACAAGGAAACAAATATATCATTCATATTTTGTGGGTTTTTTTCTGCCGTTATTTTGACATATAAAATGCTTTGGTATGTTATAAGGATTTTTTTGCTCTTTATAAGGATTTTTTTGGTAGTTTATACAGGTTGGCGCTCCGAAAAGTTGACAGGTATGAGTCCCTTTTAGAGTAGGTTTAATCACTCAGGGAGCCCTTCTTGGTTTAGACCTTTTCAAAATAAGTGATATCAATTTAACCTCTTCAGGGAATCAACCAGTGCATTAGAATAGTAATTTTAGGTTTAACCACAAGAGGGTACTAGAGTAGAGTTAGACATTCAAATTAGAATGATAATTTCAGAATAAAATGCTATAATGTGCCAAATTGAAATTAATCAGTAGAATTAAATAAATGTTACACAAACTAAAGATCCAAATATGAGCTGGCTTGCTTGATGACACCTACTTTTTTAAGGAGACAATACAATACATCCTGATTTATATAGCGCTTTCACAACAGTTGCAGCTGTAACAAAGCGCTTAAAAAACTTACCATAAAGTAAAATATAAATAAAACACATAACATTAAAAAAGGACAGTCTTGCTATCCTGACCAGTTTTCCCTCATACGCTTTGATGTTAAAATGATTGATCATCATCATTTTGCCAACACATGAATCCAGAAACCGCTTTTCTTGTACTGGTTTAACCTCAATTGATTTGTTACACGTTAATGACGTGACGTCATGTTGAGAGCAGTCTCCATAAAATTTGATTTTGTAATCCTCATCTAATTTCTACCAACCTAATTTAAGTATGTGGTTGTGTAGTGTGGGGGGGGGGGGGCAACTAATCATCATCCTCAAAACTGAACAATTTTCATTTTTTCCAGATGAACCTTTTTCCGAATCAGAAAGGAAAAGGCCCAGTAAGAAAAGCAGAGGTAAATTTCAAAGCATAGCGCTTTCTACAGTGATGTTTTATTTTTCATTGATCTGTGTGTATCAATATGCAGTGGATGCTTGGAGTGCTTTTCCCGCAAAGAAGTCCCCTGTACACCATGGTCCAGAGTCCAAGAGGTCCGGTGCCTTTGCAGAGTATCGGAAGAAATACATGGAGAAGTTACACCCACCCATCATTCAGTAGCAGTTGAAAACACATTAAAATGATTGTGAACGCGATTCCTTTTGTTTCTGGTTTTGTACCATGTTAAGATGGCCAAGTCTTCAGCTTTTTTGCACATGTGACCTTGAGGCACACTTCCTTTTTTTATATGTGTAAATATGTATGTCCTTATTTTTTATATATAGTTTGCCATGTTGGTATTTTTGTTGACTTTCTTTTCCTGTATCGGACGTGAATATAACCATGTAGTTTACCATCGTTTAACTATGATAGATCAAAAGGTTTTATTTTACTGAATGGTTGTTCCAATAAGAGTTGAAGTATTCGCAACCTACACAAGTTCCATATTTTCCAATTGGTTGATTATTTGATTTATTGAATAAATCATGTTACTTTTTCAGAATAATATGTAAAAGTTTTTATTTAAAACTTAACAGAAACCTGGTGCTTTGTCTCATGTCACTATTTTGTTACAGCTCCAGCTGTTGTGAAAGCGCTATATAAACCAGGATGTATTGTATTTTTCTGGTGGAGCTTTGGCATGCAAAAGAGAACTCCCAATGCGGACATCATCTAATCTGATGTCAAACAAGGCCTTCAAATGTCCACGTGTTTAATTTTGCACTGCTGATTTTGTGAATCGTTTCTCATTTTTTGCTTCCAGAAAATGAAAAACAATCTCTGGTCCAATCTCAGTCCTGGTTGAGTGTAAGGTCTCAGGTCTTTTTAATTTTGATGTCGATAGCTTTGAGTTCAATGTCTGAGCATTCACACAAACTACCTGAGCATTCATTGGACCACGGTGAGCAACATTTTTTTCCTGCCAAAAATCAGCATAGGCCTAAAAAAAAATTCCCGATTGGTCGGGCCCTCGAAAAAAAAATGACTTACTGCTTGCGAACTCTGAAAGCTGACTTTGAAATTTGGGCAAAATGTCTACTCTGACTTGTACTGACTTTCAGCTCTGAATCCTGAATTTAAACTACCCGGTACCTTAACTTCTCTGTACATTAAATAAGTCACCTCTTTGTTACTCAAGGGTCTGTGTGGTGACAAATGTTGTCAAACAGGTTAAAAATAATTGCATTTTTGTATATTTCCCTGATAAATAGGTTATTAAAAACATTTAGAAAATGCACCGTTTAATATTTAATACAACTTTATTTTAAGGTTAGTTCCAAATCGTAGCACCAAACACTGCTGCAGTTGAGGCCATAGTTCTCCTCTCGTACGGGCTTGGGCAGCTCAAATTGAGCCAACTTCTTCAGGCGCGACTGAAAGGCAAGCTCTTCAAACTGGGCTCTGCCAGGATCTCCAATTAGAACTTGGCTTTTATGAGTTTTGATGCAGTCTTCTAGCCAAGTGTGAAGGTTATAGGAGAGGGCCTCATCGTAGAACATGTCGCCAAGAAGGATCAGGTCAAAGTTGCCAGGATCTGAACCAATCATGTCATCTGTCACACAAACGGGGGACTCCAGACCGTTGAGCTTGAAGTTCATGCAGGTTGCAAGGGTGGCAACTGTGATTAAAAACAGACTCCTTTAGAAATGAGTTTAACTTGCACAAGCTGACTTAATGTAGAACTTGTTGCTCAACCAGACAAGAACATGCAAGCTATTTTGGCCATATTTTTATATTACTGTAATATTCACTTGACAACATATACGAGTTGTCTTGAGTAATGGGACAAAATGCAGGACTCAGTAAACATCTTCAAACACGCCAGCAGCTGTCCTATGGTAGATGTAGCAGACCGCCTCCTGATCACAAACAGTTATTCCGAGCATAATATCCTAAATAGCCTTGAGTATTTTCATCTGATAAAATGTTGCATGGTAAAATTATTTGACACAATTACATCTACTTTTACCTCTTTTTTTAAAAACGCAAATATCTGTGCTTCTACTTGGGTACTTACGTAGTATTTTGGCAATTATAAATTAAATATTTCTAGAGGATTTTTCCATGAGGATTTTATTTATTTTATACACAGAAAATTTGGAACTGAAGGATTGTTATTGACAGTGCTCACCTGAGTCAATGTCATTAGCGACTACTCGATTGGCACCACACAGTTTTGCAGCGATGGCGGAAGCTCCACAGCCACACCCCAGATCCAAGACGGATTTTCCCAAACTTACTCCAGGATTATCCAGGAGATACCTGCAGGTAGGAAGTTTCAGCAAAGTTTGAACAGCAATAGTACAAATAACATTATTAATTCGAAGGCTTACCTTGAAAGTGCTTGCCCTCCTGGCCAGTATATGGCCCAGTATGGGTCCTCAAAAGGCCAAAACTCTGGTCTTTCAAACCAAAACCTACAATTTGGGGTGAAAAGTCGGAGTTTGATCTCTGGTGTCAGGTTATGATCTACAACAATCTCTGTGTTCTCTGAAATGAACTTCGTAATAGATTCATCATACAGACATTCAGTTGAGAAATTGCTGCGTCGAGCTGTCAATTTCAGTGAATTTAAATAAGACAACCTGAGAGCGCTTAAAACTTTTAACATGACGCCTCACTTTGTCGGGGCTATTCATAATAGCCGCACGTCATTTAACAATGTCACCGTCAGATGACGAAATGACACTCAAAAAACGCATCCACATTTGGACGTTTAGAGGTCAGAAAATTGAGTAATCCGTGCTTGAAACACCAGAGTGCTCGTCGTGTGCCTGACACCAATGTGTGTTCCGTCGTCGTGTAGAAACGGGGATAAACCATAGTTCCGATTAATGAGATGCCTTAAAAGAAAGCAGTACTGTACTGCGCTTCATTCATAATCAGCCTGTGCTATTCCACTATAATATACATTGTCATGCGCCGACAACATAAATATAGATCATAATCAAACGTGTAGAATTCAGATATAATCCTTCTCAAAAACGTCTTTTCATAGTTTGTTTAATTACTTAATGACTGAGAGTCTTTGGCAGTCTTCAAACTTGTTTAAAAGTATTGTAAAACAAAATATAATCCATATTTATATGAAAGAAATAATTATAAACAAATGTGAAAATGCTTGACGCCTGTATATTAATGGAACAATACTGATTTGTGATAGAGGGCCACATGCTGGTCACTTGAGCACTTAAAAATCAACTGAGTCCAAAGATTACCTTTTTTTGTTGTTTTTTTTTTTTTATGAGTAGAAGTGGGAGTCAAACTTTGCGGATACGCACCCAAACGTTTAGACGTGCCCAAATTAAATGAAACTTTAAACATGATACAATTTTGCTCACAGATTTATTTCTCTATCAATAACTGTAGAGACCCAGTTCACTGTTGGCTTTGTATTTTACATTTATTTTGATTGTACAATAGAGGTCATGGGATTATTGCTTGTGAATACAGTCCTGGAACTCTAGAATAATCCGAGAACAGAGAACTCATTGGCCATGACGTCAGACTCTGACAACCTCCAATGTGGAGTTCTCATTTCAGGGTAAATTTCATGACACAGTTTGGTAGCATAGCACCAGATCAATATAGACATAGTAAATGGATTTTTAATGCATTCACCCTACAAGTATGAGAGGAAGAACTTTCAAGAAGAGTTTCTGGAAGATGACGAGGTGCCATTATAAGAATCTATCAATGGCCAGCAGAGGGCAGTAATGGCCAGTGAATAAACGGTAATCTGGTCCCCTCCCTTTTGGCCTCCCTTGCTTTTTTTTTGATGAGATAAACCTGACTGAAAATGGATCGATTGACCGCGGCGAGGTTGGTGGTCAGACTGCTTGCTACAATACCGAAGAACATTTTCTCTCCACGTTTAGTAGTGAGATTATCCTGAATTGACCAATCTTTTGGAGTCCTTCTATTTGGAGATCCAGACGCCCTCGGCAAATCTCCCCTGCTCTGTCAACTTCCCTCTTCTCTTGATGACTCTAAGGATCTTCCAGAGTTGCTTCAGTGGCAAGGCACAGTTCTTATAGATTTATATGGGACTTCACTGGGGCCAGGGGCAGAACTAGATCACACCTCCTGGACTTCTTTCAAATGTGGCTCCTTGGTGTTGAACTTGTCGGTAGCGGGGAATGGATTTACAAGGATGTTGCACTGGCCCAGCTCTTCCAGTCGCTCAGGGTCACTGTAGGTGTTATGCCAGATGTTGAGCTATATCCTCCTTGGAAGAGGCCAATGTCCCATCCCACTTCTGTCCCAGGAACTGTTTAGCGAACACAAATGGGTTGGCGATGAATAAAGCTTGTTTTCTGGATCTCTCTTTCCGATGCCTTCGGTGCCATGCTGCTCTGTGCAAGGTCATCAGTCTTTTCCTCAAGACAGCTCTTTTTTTATTTTTATTTTTTGAAGTATTATTCTTGTTTTTAATATTTTTACTGTAACAAAATCATTTGTAAAAAATCAATTATGACAATGATTCCTTCCTTTCTATTTACTTCTCAGCGTATGGCTGTTGAAGTCACTTCTGTGCAGGTAGTGTGAACTCCGTTCCCACTCATTGATGGTGTTAGAAATGAGTGGTTATGGTTGTCTGCATCCTGTGATTGATTGACGAGCAATCCATGGTCTCATCTGCCTTTTGCTTAAACTCTTCTGAAATATGCTCCATCCGTGCATGTAGCTTTAGCCCTTGGTAAAGAGATGAGGTTTTTTTTTCAAGGGGCAGCAAGAAAATGTACCCCTGCAGCTAAGCAGATCCTATGAGGTATAATGCTAAAACAATACTATGTAGTGCACTCCTTGTGCTTATAAGGTCTCGTACTGACTTTGGTTGATGAATCAGTTGATTAAGTGGCGTGTGTTTGTTCATTTAATGCAGCATGATAAATTAATTGTTCTTCTTTTAATGAAAAAAAGCTTGTCCAATTCTAACTTCGAGTTGAATTTTGCTCTCAGCACATCTGAGCCTCTGCCTCTGGCTTGCCAGATGATGTTCACTAGTCAGATTGTGTCTAGCGGCTGCCATAATAGTGACAGGCTAAAGCCTGTCAAGTTGGATTTGTGAAATGACACATTTACTTTGTTTTCAACCGCCTTGCCAAGTTTTCTCCTTTCATTTTAGCAATGAGCAAATTGATTCAGTGCAATAATCATCAGTTTTGATTCCAGCGCCAAACATTACTAACCATTACAACATGTAGCATTAAACCCTTCATAGGATGAATACAGTCTCTAAAACATCTTTAGTTGATGGATACCTCACTTCCCTCCCCTCCCTTATTCAGATAATATTTTCAAATTTGTGTTTTATATGTGAAATTTTAGCATGATCAAACAAAAAAAAAGAGACAAAAAGAAGAGAAAAGAGAACAGAAAAGAAAATCCCAAGTAAATACCAGACTGCGATGAATTTTGCAATTTATCCAAATTAAGAAAATCATTCAAGGTTTGCATGACAGAAGCATTCTGTGTTCATGCTTTAGAATCAATAAACCAAATATTTTGTTGTGGTTCGATTGGGTTTCTTTTTAAAATGGCTTCATATCAATATGCTGTGATGAAAATGGACAAATGCTCCTGGATGATGAATGACTGAAAGTGAATGTCACACTGAATAATAGGGTGCAATCAGCATGTTATTATACTCCTATTCATTGCAGCTTCTGGGCAGCAGAGTGGTTGGTTGCATACATAATATTTAACTGCAAATTGTCGGAACACTTTGTTTGAGTTGATCTTCAACCACTTCTGTTGATTTAAAAAAAAAAAAAAATATATATATATATACTGGTCTCAAAATCACGGCATGGCTTTGGTCCTGAATTCCATTCATCACACACACACACACACACACACACACACACACACACACACACACACACATTTGGTTTATTGTTTGAGTGAATTACACGGTTGGTTTATGGACCCCTGGGACCTCCAGGCAAGGGACCGATTTTGATTGTTTCGAACAATGCTAAACTTGAATGAGCACAATCCAAAATGAAATAGTAACAATGCTTTTTTTTTTGTGTGTCTACTTTCATTCACAGTATTGCCAGCTACGCCGGGGGCATGAAAAAGAAAATGTTCAGCATGGTCCAGCGCTGTCTGCAAAATTCCCAAACATGCATGAAATCAAGATGCGGTAGATTTTAGCCAAGCCCACACGGTATGTCTTCGAAAATACAATCCAAAATGTTACTCGTTCGATGTTTGCATCCCTGCAAGGTTGCGTGCACAGTAAATGATTGACAACAACCTTCTGTCATGCCTTCTGTCTCTTCAGCCTCTACATTGGCTATTGTTGTCAATATACGCTATGATTTTTAAAACGCCGCATAAAAATAAGATGAGGCCATAGAGCGATGATTTTATTTCCGAAAATGATTTGAATAATATTCTGCTGTCAAGTCAGAATGACAGTTAACATGTATAACAAAATGTGTTTTTAATCTGCAAACTTTTTTAAACTACAAACTACTGGCATGAAGAGCATACGGTTAGCAGATTTGCTTCACAGTTCTGATGTCATGTGTTCAAATGTGGCCCTGTGTGTGGAATTTGCATGTTCTCCCTGTGCTTGCATTTTGTCTGGGTACCCCTTCTTCCTTCCACATTTCAAAAACATTCATGTTCGGCTGCTTGAAAACTCTAAATTGATGTGAATATGACTGAGAATGGTGGTTTGTCCAGATGTGGATGTTGGGATGGATGGGCGGATGAGGCAAAGACGATGGTTGATGATTATGTGATGATAACTAAAGAACTTCAATATGAACGTTTCACTGCTTTTCTTTCATGTGGGGAGAGACATTAAAATTGTGGTATTATTGCAATTTGATATAAAAAAATCATATCATAAAATATTAAAAAGCGGCATCGGACGTTTGCCAGCAATGCGATGAATCTTTGTGATTATGAAGTTTTCAAAAAGGCATTAATGGATGTCTTGATTTTATATCAGCAATGATCGATTCACACATTCACTCACACAAGGCCTCCTTGTTCATCCCATTACAGAGTTCCAGAGATGAGTACTGATTCAGAGCTGGCTAAAAAAAATGTGATTTGTCTCAATACGCCATTAAACGTTTCTTTATCTGTTTAGTGTTCAAATCCCCTAGCGTCACACTCTCCTCAGGAGGACAGAGAGAAAATGACAGGAGTACAAACAGAGCTTGGAAAAGACACTCATTGATCCAAGGATGTGAGAAATAAGCTCCTGCACTGAATGTCATTTGCTGAATCTTAAAGACTAATTACATTCAAAGTTGCTGCTCTAACAGTTCAGGATATATTGCTCATTTATATTTTCATTATGTCAGAGATTTTCTCGGACAAAGTTAAAGAAATGACTCGGCACACAGGAAAATTGTCTTCAATATCGGCGGGAGGGGGATCTCTGAGAGCGAACGACGGTAGTTGCTCCGATGATCACACTCCCGAGCTCCCTTCCCGCCAATTCCGACTTTTATTGTAACATACAAGGAAAACACTGCCCCCGACATTTGCATACCGCACCCCCGGTCCAGCCCCTCGGTGGTGATTGGTTACCTGTTTTTTAAACTTGAACCACCAGTACGTTGGCGCCTTTTCTGTCTGGTCTACATCGAATTAACATGTTGCAGACTTTGCGGACGACAAATGTCGCCTGGGCGCAACGGGTGTTCTCAACTCGTCTTTTGTTGTTCAACCGCTGTTCCCAAATTATTCATTCCCCTTTTGTGACCGAGTTTCGCCCACTCCCCTGTGATTGCCCACCTGCATTGACGTGCTAATTGTGGACTTCAACAGCCCTCCGGCCAGGTGGCCGGCGCCTATGTGC